GGCGGCTGCTCCCGGCTGGCACCTCTGGTTCCTGCTGTGTCCCTGGCGTGTGTGGCTCAAAGCCTCCCTGCCGAGGGGCCGGGGGTGCGGCACACCCGTTCGCCCTGTGTGCACAGCCCCGCGCAGCACGGCCCCAGGGGCTCTGGGTTCTCCTCAGGGACAGATGTGGTTTCCAGGCTGTTCTTCTGTTCCAGCTTTCTGTCAAAAAATTGGCTGCATCACTTCATTACGTGGTGATGTGCAGTGGCAAACGCTGTGTACAATCTGCATTCCCTGCAGTGCTTTTAATTCTCATCGATCAGTAAGACTAAATGGAAATAAACGTAGTGCTTTGTCTAAAAGGAACAACTCTCACGCTCGTTATGATGTTTAAGATAAACATTGCAGGACAGGAAAAGAAATTCTTCTAATCTCATGATGCTTTCCATTTGTGTTTTCATGAGGGTGCTGAAGATGAACTTTATTCTAGAAATCTCACTCTGTCCATGGTTTTTCCTTGCAGTGGGGTCTTTGATGACAACGAAGCTTTCACAGCCGCAGTCTACACTGGCAAAAAGCCTAACTTCAACAAGCACAGATGCTCCCTATTTTAAAGCAGCAGGTATGCTATTATGTTGTTTCTTTTGTTTGTCATCTGTGGGCCCTTTCCTGAGTCCCAAAGGTCTTGAATTTTGTCTTAGAAACCTGTACATGCTTTCACAGTGCTAAGAGGCATTGTAGCTTAGCACATTATGAATTACACTCCAATGATCATAATGATTAGTTTCTTTTATCCAGTTAGACAACTGGTCCATACAAGATCATACAGCTAGAAAATGGCTAGTTAAACTTGCATTGTGGTTCATGTGGTTTATGCCTTGTGAGGATGGTGGAAGTTCTTGTTCCCATTCCCTAGCCAACATCAGCAGAGCTTTGTGGCTCACTGAGGGATACATGAGGACTGACTGAAACACTCTTCTTGCTGGCAGTTTAAGAGGTGATTCAGGACACATACAGAGGACTGACTGAAACACTCTTCTTGCTAGCAGTTTAAGAGGTGATTCTGGACACATACGAACAGCAAATGGCTGAGCTAGCTGCACACTTAAGTAGAACTGAACTAAAAGTAGGTTACATGTGTCACCCTGCTGCTGTACCTAAAGTGATTACTGCTGAGAATTGCTGGCTGAGGCGGCACTAATCCCTGTAAGCTCTGTTCTGCTGCTGTGCTGAGGTGTTACTGTGCTGTCCTCCACAGAGCACCAGCAAGAGAGCCCCTTGCCAGGTGCCCTGCTCTGCTCTCTACCTCCCCTGGCTAACAGCAGCTCCCACAGCACAGGCTGGAAATGCTGCTCAGTGTATAGTGAGGAAAGCCCTTTATACTGTGTCAGTGCATGTGTTTGTGTACGTATACGTGTTAAAAAAAGTGTATATATACTTTAGACTATTTAGCTTCTTTTATTTGGTTTCTTGATTCCTTATTTCCCCTTTCAGAAAGCACAGAGATTCCACCTTACCTGGCTAAATGTCCCAGCAATGGGCTTTGCAGTAGATTGCCACCAGACTGCATGACATGCAACACAAACTATTCCTGTGTGTATGGGAAGCCAGCCACCTTTGATTGCAAGGTCAAGCCACATGTTCATTGTGTGGTAAGTAACCTGCCTGCTACCTTTAACCCCACATTTAAGTAATTCAACTGTGGCATCTTGTCTTAAAATACAGATTTCCAGGTTCTTACAAAGGCAGGTTTGCAGTTGTGTGATATGTTTGATCCCTCAGGGTAGGTTATTGCAGCAGAGACAGGCCTGCCCTGCTCTGGTTTGCTTTTCTCACTTTGGATCTTTTCATTCCCTGGCCATGCCATGAGTCCAACCATTTTGAGGGTGGGGAGGCTAAATATTTGTCAGAGTTACAAACTGACCTCGCAGGTGGGACTGAATGAGTCCTGCTTTTGGCAGTAGCCTGAGGTTGGAGGAATCAGCAACATTAAACTTCACTTTAATAACCCTGTCATTTTTCTCATGTTGGTTTTTCTATTGTACTTGACTATGTAGAAGTAGCAAACAGTAATTATTATTTCACCCAAAATGTCTACCCATGGAATGCCATTGGATTCCTATATACAGTAATAATGCTGTCCTGTTACAGGATGAGAATAACCAGGAGCAGGAGAACTTCACAATTAACATGACGTGCCAGTTTTGCTGGCAGCTGGCCACAAGTGATTATGTCTGTACCAATTCCACCAGCTGCATGACAGTTTCTTGTCCTCGCCAGCGATACAATGCCACGTGCACCGTCCGGGATCACATCCACTGCCTAGGTAAGGGGGGCTAAGCCAGAGTCTGTAAAGCAGCTTCTTCTAAAGCATTTCTCAATGTATTTCATGATGGGTAACTACAGTGATTGTTTACATCCCTTGCAGTAACAGTCTGCACCTTGATTAATTCTTGGATTTTTATATAGTTGCATTTTCATTTTTGAGCGTAACAGTGACATCTAACTGCAAACATTGCCTTATTATACTGTTGTGTGCTGTCACACAAAAGAAAACAGTTCTGTTTATTTTTACCAGCTTCTGTGAGTTAAACTTATTTGGACACCACTAATAGAATCGATACCAATGTCTCAGTAGGTTAATTTAAAACATTTATGCTTGTTCTACCCAACTAGTTTAATTTTCCTGTTTGTTCAGTGACTTTGTGTGTTGTCTGATGTGGGATCAGGACTGGCAGAAGGATATATATGAGCTTTTGTGTTGACAGTGATTTTCTCAGTTAGTGCCAGCCCTTTTAGACTCCTTTTAGAGAACTACAGTATCCTCTTGCTTGTCATTCTCTTACTCATCATGTGGTCTTTGTTTATTAAATCAAGGTTTTGATGTTTCCGAATGTTTAGGTAACCGTGTCTTTCCTAAGATGCTCTACTGCAACTGGACTGGAGGTTATAAGTGGTCTACTGCCTTGGCACTAAGGTACAAAAGAGCTATTAGACAATGTCAAGCTAGAATAGATCAGTTGTCTGTAAAATCTTCAGTCTGTGTGAGCTTCTACTTGGGATTTTTTATTGGTGTACAGAATAAACAGTATTTCAGAGTTTAGGTAGGATTGTGGGGGCATAGGATAATATTTTAATATTTAATATTTTTAAAATAATTAGGGCTGAAAATTGCCCAAATTACTAGTTGGCATCTGAAGTGAATGCAGCTGTTTCTGAATTTGGTAGCTGTCACTGAGCTGGCTGTAGTTTGTGTATGTTTGGTACAGCTTCATTCCCAGCTGCAACAGCTAAAGTGCCTCAAGGCCAAGTTTCTTGCATTTCCAATTACTAGGGAAGAGACCAGGGAAGCAGTATTGAAACTGAGGTTATGTAATAGGTTATTAACTGAGGTTATTAACTGAGGTTATTTTTGAAATAAGCTATTAGAGCACCACAATAATGATTTGAAAGTAGCTGAAGAGAGCACCACAATAATGATTTGAAAGTAACTGAAGTTCTTCTGGTGGTGAGACCTTTTTCAGTAAATTTTAGTATTCCTGAAGTGGTTAATATGATAAACTAGGTAATGAGCCAAATACACAATAAGGCTGTGATTAAGACAGCAATCTAACACACTTCCCTTTAGAGCAAGAGTTGTTCTCTCTGCCACCAGCTGCAGAAACTTCCTGTTGCCTGACTTGTGTGTGGGACTGAATGTGGCATTTGGGTCTTTTCTATAGCTTGTTTTTTGTTTGTTTCTTTTTTTTAACTTCTGCTAGCTTAGAGGAGTCAAGACATATTTATAAATCTGAGAGTTTTGGGGTTTATTGCTTGTCATGAATGAAAAACTGTGTGTGGATAGTCTTAAATAGCTAAGAAATAGTGTTATGTGATCAAGAGCTTTCTTACTTGATAAAGTAACTTGTTTCTTTTTGTACAAAAATGGGTAGTTTCTTGAATGATGCAGAGCAAAAGTCTCACTGATTTGTAGGTGTGTCAGAAAGCAGTGTGTGTGGATCCCCAAGCTGAGTTCTCTCAAAATAATAACAATGAACTCTATCCTTATAGCATCACCCTGGGTGGATTTGGTGCCGATCGATTCTACTTGGGCCAGTGGCGGGAAGGTCTGGGAAAACTCTTCAGCTTTGGTGGACTCGGAATATGGACACTCATTGATGTGCTGCTAATAGGTGTTGGCTATGTGGGACCTGCAGATGGATCTCTTTATATTTAAATGTGGGTGCAGTGTGTTTCAGAGAGGAGCTGTTGCCTAGAAAGGGCTCTGAATCCAACAGTGTGGAGATCTGAGCCTTTGAGGTAGAATGAAGAACAACTGTTTGTTCTGTGTGCTTATATTTTAATGTACAGTATCTGTACTTGGTTTGCCTTCAACTAAGGTAAAATAAAAGAGTGGATCACTAGGTTGAAATCCATTTCGTTTCCTCTGTGGACATTTCCCAGTGCCCCCCAGACCCCTGTGTTCCTTGGGGGGGGTTAGGGCCCTCCCAGAGCCCTGTGTCCCTTGGGGGGTGGGGGGTGGTTTGGGGTGTTTCTCTGACCCTACCCCCCAGATCTCCCCCAAGGGTTGCAGCCCTTCCCTTGTGCCCCCATTTTTCTATGAAAAATGTTCAACAGGTTACCAAATTCTGTGCTGTGATGGAACTTGGATGGCTTGACAGACACCAAAAGAAATGCAAACTAACATGAATATTGAATCATTTACTTCATATTTGTATTCCTGAATTTAAATTTAAAGGTAACTTACCTAAATATGTCATTCATTACTTTTTTTGGGAGAGGGAGGATAATTTATTTGCCTGAGTTACAGTGGCAGTACGTAGAACACCATGTTTTATATGATGTTAAATATGTTCTTCTCTTGTTTTGGGATATAGCAAGAGCTGACATCTGCTTATGGACTTGACTTGTAATTGTGGGGTGTTTAGAATTAGATTGCAGTAGCACTAAAAGCTCAATATGAAATAATTTGAATAGATTTTTTGATTGTTCTAGAATATCTTTGTTTTGGTTGGGTTTTACCTGTATATCCATGAAAGTTACAATTCCTATTCTTGTGCTAGCAAGCTTGCCAAATTACTTTAAAAAAAAAAGGGTTGGCAATATAATCAATCGATCAGTTCATCCATTTAGGCCTTTGTGACATGAGACTGTAGCAGACTAGTGCCACGGCAGGGGAGCTGCGGGGGGTGTGTGCCTGCCCGGCCGCGCGGGGACAGCTCTGCGGGGCGGGCGCTGTGCACATCGCATCGCTTCAATAAACTGCAGCGTGAAGCTTTAAGGCGTGAAAAATACTAAGCGTGTTTGTAATGACCTCCGCTCGCTCCTGCTGCACTGGCGCTGGGCGGGAGGGACGGACCGAGCGGCGGCATCGGCACCGCGCGGGCTCGCGGGGCATGGGGCTCCGTGCCGGGTGTCGGGAGTGGGTGTCGGGATGCTCCGTCCCGCGGGTGTCGGGATGCTCCGTCCCG